CCCCAAAACCCCAAAACCCCAAAACCCCATCTACCATCAATAAAATGTTAATAGGTAAAAGTTAAGAAATCAGGAAAAATAAATTCATCTTCTAATATTAATACCGCCATAGTTACTACTATACTGTGACATTCTACTAAATAATTGACCCTTATTCAAGTCTTTTCTTGTTTGATCTTCTATATACATCATATCTTATTAATTATTTGGTATGGTATCTTAGTAATCACTCTATTAAGATTGAGCTTAAGCATTTCTCTTGAGCATTTAGAGCTTAATAACCTTGTTAAAAGAAGATTAGATAGTATTTCTGTTACTTTGGAGAGATGTATGGTGATTTGAGCTAGACATTGTCGTTCCCTAGACATTCATATTGTTTCGGGACTTAGTACTAGCATCTCCTGGCTTCTAAGTGTTTTAATTATTTTGAAATCCATATTTTGATTGAAATTAAAGTCTGGGTGAAGAGGCATTGGTTATATACTAATTTTGATAGTTCTATTAAAAGGATCTTGGTGATTACCTCGGACTTAAATTATTTCTTTGGCTATTCAGTAAGTTCTACTATGCTTATGATTAAGATCTCTAATGTAGATTAATTTTAGGTTCCTCAATTAAGTTATATTATTTGAAAGGGATTCTTTTCATTGTTTATAAATTAATTATTCTATTACTTGGACTACCATTCTAACTCTTTGGGGAATAATCTTCATCCTAATTGAGGCCTGGAGATCCTAAATTACCTATCTTCAATTATGGTTAGTTGGTTAATCTAGAACTTTAGCCATCAGCCTATTTATTGTTATTATATTCTTGCTGCTGTTAAACCTTTAAGGAAATGACAGAATTGTTCATATTGTAGTGAGCATTTTTCTAATCGGCTTAAGGAGGTGACATTGTAGAGCCCTTTAACTAATCAAGAATATCAAGGATCTGCATAAGGTTCTTGTAATTAGGATGATTTACATCATCAATAATGTCTATTGCCTTCTCAACTAAAGATTCGAGGTTACTATTCTTATTCAGTTCAACCAGTTCGTTATACCATTATTTGCTAGCATTTAAACTCTTCACTCTTTTGTCAAATGAACTTAGATTATTTGTATTATTTTCTGAATCTCTAAGCTTTAGTACCATAAGCAGGTGATCTAGGATATTGCTGATCTGATGGCTATTGTTAAGATCAATGTTGTCCTGGATATATGTAGCCCCGAGTTTACTATAGTTAATTGTCCCAGTTTTTGTCGTACTTTTTTATTAAAGTTAGATGCTTAGAGATTTAGTCCTATTATCCTAATCCAATACAAAATTATTAACTTTAACTGCCTACCGGTCTTCTTAGAAATTAGCATCCTCATTATTTTTAAATGTAGAATTCAATATTTCATCAGGTGATAAGATGTTGTTTGCATCTTTTATTGTTTATAAAAGGCTTTTTTCAGTTCCAAATTTCTAATCATGTGTGAAATAAGCATTAATAAGTTACATTAGTAGACAAAAATAAATTTCTATCTTCATTAGATAAAGAATTAGTGCCATTATGTCTTGATTTTTGAACTATTTTTTTTGTTCTTCTGAAGAATATCACTGCTGATAGCAATGCAATTAGCAAGAAGATTGATATAAAAACAAGTCCACCAATTATTCCATAGAGAATCGTGGTATGGCCTCTTAAATAATCAACCTCATCCTCACAATCTCTCTACAAAAATTATGAATTATATCATCATACGCTCATGAAGGATTATATAAATAATATGTATATTTCTATTTTATTTTCATTTTCAAAAAAGTAAGATCAATTGCTAAATAGGGGTTTTGGGGTTTTGGGG